AAATATAGAGAAATCGACAGTCAAAAGAGCAATTTATAAGCTTATTAATACGATTCTAAATACTTCGTGCTCAAAAAGTGTTGATGAATCGCACTAAGATTCTGTTTTCGTGTTCGGTAAATTTTACCGAAATCAGAACAGCTGAACTTTCGGTAAAACTTTGACCTTCATTTTAAAGGCTATTGAATTTGAAAATAATTTCAAAACATGTTCAATCTTGTTTAAATGATCAAATCTTGTCATTTTAGTGGAGATTTAGTTTCAAAGTAGCTGAATATCAATTGAATTAAATTGCATAAATTTTACCGAACAGTTCAGCTGTTAAGATTTCGGTAAAAATTACCGAAGTCGGTTAAAATTTCTAAGTGTGATCAGGGTTGCTTAAACGATTCAGATAGGAAAGAATATCGAAATAAAGATCATCGCGCAATGGAGAGTACTGTACAACGAAGCCAAGTACGATGAATTGGCACTAAACACGAACACGAACAAGATTTTACAAATACAGTTTTAAAATAATATCAAGCAACATATTCATTTCATGGCTAAATATAACACAATTTGCTGATACCAACCTTTTTGCCTTTGTAAAACTTAAAGGGTGATACGGTCAAAATTTGGTCAAGGGAAAACGCGTGTAAATCGGTGAAATCGTTTATTTAAAAAATCAAATTAAATTTCTTTTTCAAGTTCAATTAGTATAAAATTCAGGAAAAATATTCAGTTAGGCTTCCGCTTTTCCAAATCCGAATTGCCGGGCCTTACGCTTGACCCCTGCCATCAGATTTTGTACAGCCACCTTGTCCACCTTCTTCGCCGCAGAAAGCCAGTTTGCCTTGAACTGCTGCTCGCCCTTAGCAGTTTTTTTGGTCTTCTTTAGGTTCCGCTTGACAATAGCCCAGTATTTCTCAATTGGGCGGAGCTCTGGCGTGTTGGGAGGGTTCTTGTCCTTGGGAACCACCTGCACGTTGTTGGCGGCGTACCACTCCATGGCCTTTTTACCGTAATGGCAAGATGCCAAATCCGGCCAAAACAGTACGGAACAACCGTGTTTCTTCAGGAAAGGCAGCAGACGTTTATTCAAACACTCTTTCACGTAAATTTCTTGGTTGACAGTCCCGGAAGCTATGAAAATGCTGCTTTTCAAGCCACAGGTACAGATGGCTTGCCAAACCAGATATTTCTTTGCGAACTTTGACAGTTTCATGTGCTTGAAAACATCTGCTACCTTTCCCCTTCCTTTTGCCGTATAAAACTCCTGTCCCGGAAGCTGCTTGTAGTCGGCTTTGACGTAGGTTTCGTCGTCCATTACCACGCAGTCAAACTTCGTCAGCATCGTCTTGTACAGCCTCCGGGATCGCGCTTTGGCCGTCGTATTTTGTTTATCATCGCGATTTGGAGTCACTACCTTCTTGTAAGTCGATAGTCCGGCTCGTTTTTTGGCTCGATGCACGGTTGTAGACGATACACCCAGCTTATTTGCGGCATCTCGGAGAGAGAGGTTAGGGTTTCGCTTGAAACTACCGGCAACTCTCTTTGTCGTCTCAGCGGCTTCCGGTTTTCGATTTCCCCCCGATCCAGACTTCCTGGCTATCGACAAACGTTCCCCAAACACTTTAATTACATTTGTAACGGTTGATTTGGCAACTTTTAGCGATTTTGCCAACTTTGCGTGCGAGTAGCTCGGATTTTCGCGATGCGCGAGCAAAATTTTGATACGCTGCTCTTCTTGCTTGGACGGCATTTTGACAACTGAAGAGTGAATTCCAAAATCAAAATAGGAGCAACATTCTACACACACACTTTCAAAATGAGGGGTGTTCAGGTTTTTTAAATGCAAAATTGAAAGAAATACGTCAAGTTGATATTGACCAAATTTTGACCGTATCACCCTTTATTTACTTTTCTCGACGATAGCAGAACCGATTTTTTGTTGTTGTTTCGGCTCTCTCATAGGACGCCAATGAATTTTATACCGATCGCACATTGGGTTCCAGAGATATGTCATTTTTTTTCTCTGGAAGTGGCAGAATACTGGGGGCATTGCACGACGGATTAAGATGAATGGAATAGGATGGAAACACACTGTCCGTTTCATTCACTTTTTCAGTGACTATAGACAGTCAAGATATAGATCGGCCAACGTGAGTTGACGAATCCAAACAAACCGTCAAATCGTATGGAAAATGTTCGTTTTGGATACAACATGGCAGCACATTGACAAATCTATAACTATGACCGTCTATAACAGTGACAGCTCGTTCATTGCGTGGATTTGAAAACGCGCGAATTTCTAATGCGTGTTGCAAAATGCATGGCACGTGTAATTTGATTAAAGATGTAGAACAGTGTAACCAAATAAATTTTAAAATTTGCCCTTGATTACAAAAGTCTGTGAATATCTGTGAAAAACTAAAAAGTCTGTAAATGTCTGTAATGAAAAAAATGTCTATGAAAAAAATAAAAGTCTGTGAATTCACAGACATGTCTGTGAATCTGGCATCTCTGGTTCACAGTCTACTGTGAAATAAATGACCAAAACAATACAAAACCAAAGCACACTACTGACATCTGGCTCCGTGTTCGTGGGAAATATTTAGCTAAGCGCCATGAACCCGCATGCAAATGTTATTAATTGGTTCGTGTCTGATCTATTCTAGAAAAATTATTTTTATCTAGATAAAACAATCCTATGGTTTTGACAGTTCGGATCACTGCACATTCAAATCGGCCGTTAACGATTTTCGGGCATAATTCAGAATTAAGTGTCATGTCGGTTTGTCGGTGGTTTCATATCATCATCATCATCATCAAATGTCAATGATTGATCATGAGCAGTTCCACGCCAAATGACGAATCGGAAAAACTCGACTCGATTTGCATAAAACTTTGCATAACTGTGCGTTATGAGCAGTGTTATGTTTTGCAAAAAAATATGCCATTTTAGATAATGTATTTTTTTCAAACTGGCGTCTTTGACATTTTTAAATAAACTGTAGCACGGAAACGTCACTTCTGATCGAAATGTCGTCTGAGACAAAGTTGTAGAGAAACTACTGCAAAATATATACACGGTATTTGGAATGAAATCTGACAGGAAAAAATAATAAGACTCTGAGATTACATCCAATTGAGTTGACATAATCAGCAAAGATTCTTGACTTAGTTAGGACTACTGCCGTTTCCGGGAAAATAATTCGACGCAACTGACAGCCACAGCATGCTATTAAAGCTGATAATCTGACACCAAATGCTAATTTTTCTCTGAATTGGAAATACAATTTAGTGCATTAAAATAGTTCAATTATTATTTTTATTTCGCACGCTAGAGATTTTCAGTCTTGAGCAAAGTTGCAGAATTTGACATTTTATGAAAAGTTGCTGAGGATATAAAATCTGTACATCTTCAAACAACAGAGATATACGATGTTTTGTAAAATTTGTCTGAAATTCACGTTTTTAGTATTGAGGTTTATAAATTCGTTGAAAACAATACTTTTATCATTTTTCGTCGATCGTTTTTGGTCGAGCCAATCTTTTCTAGAATAATACTTTTATTTTTAGAGTACTTATTCTATTAATTAATAGCCCAAGAAATTAGAAAAAAAAACATGATTTTCTGAATGATTTTTCTCAAAAAAGCTGAATCAATTTGCAGTCTTCAACAAAGATGTTTTTTATTGTTTTCTAAAAACATACATATTGTTCTGGAAAAGAGTGGCTGGACAACAACCGATCGACAAAAAATGATAAAAGTATTCATTTGAACGAATTTATAGAACTTAAAACTAAACACGTGAATTTCAGTAAAATTTTACAAAATATCGTATACCTCTGTTACAGCAGTAGTTTGAAGATGTACAGCTTTTATGCATTCATCAACTTTACATAAAATTTTACGTTCTTCAACTTTGGCCAAGACAGCAAACCTCTAGCGTGTGCAATACAAAAAGCTGGTATCGCTGCGCCATCTTTGCGGCAAACACTTGAACTATTTTTATCCACCAAATCATAGTCCTAACTAAAGTCAAGAAACTTAGCTGAAGACGTCAACTCAGTTGCATGCGATCCCATAGCGTTATTATTATTTTCCGGCTAGATTTCATTCCTGGCCCACTGTGGAATAAAGGGCGAAGAAATTTAGGTTAGGTTCCGATGAAGAATTTTAACCAGCCCATAGTAAGGGTTACCTCCAAGAAAATAACCATTACAGATCAGGCATGAATGCCGTAGATTATTTTTTTAAAGTTCTTAACCTATTCAGGGGTGTAGTTAAACCATTTCTGATATCGCCCATATATGGCACGGGTAGCATTCAATAAAATGGCTACTTAGGGCCTCGGAAAATCCGAAGAACTATGAGCCTAAAGATTCCCATCGAATTCAAGCCCTAAGTCAACGCACTATGGGCAAAAATGGGTTGAAAATCAACCCAAAATTCCTGTCATGAACAATGACTTTTTTAACGGCGCCGGTGGTGTAGTGGTAAGCGTGATTACCTCTCACCCCAGCAGGCCTGGGTTGAATCCCAGTCGGCGCCGCCGGGATGTTCTGAGGCATAACATCTCTGATCACGCCTTCCTTCGGATGGGAAATAAAGCCGTTGGTCCCCGGTTCATGAGTTGATGGGTCGATAGGTAGGGTCCAGGTGTGGGAGCTGCCTTCCTGGCACGTCGGTAGCATTGGTGCTCAGCACGGAAAACAAGATCGACGGAAAAAACAAACCAAAGGAAAAAAAAAAAAAACAATGACTTTTCCGAAAGAAAACAGTCTGAGGAATCGAAGGCACGTAGTTTCATACGCCACACAGACTTGTGTTTTGGATCATTACGAGTCTCTGCGTCGTTTAAAACCACAAAAAATCGATTCCCTAGAATGTTTCCCTTCGGAAAAGTAAATGTTCATGGCCGGAATTTCAGCTTCCTTCTGAGATATTGAATTTTGGACCCTTTTTTCCCCATCGTGCAACGGTGTCCATTTGACCGGTGGCAGATACTCACCAAATGCGCCCCGTACTCCAGCAGCGTCTGTGCCAGATTGGCCGGGCAGGGTCGCGTGAGGGCCGCTAAATGCAGGGGCGTGTTGCCGGCTTCGTCCTGTGCGTTCGGATCGGCACCGACCTGGAGCAGTGCTTTGGCGAGGCGTGGCGATGGCAGTTGGCAGGCCGGATAGCGTCCGACGAGGGCCGCCTCCTTGTAGCACGCGAGATGTAACGCCGTTCGGCCGGATTTTGCTACAATCTACAAACGAAAGAAAGAAAACCGAAACTCAATTAGAATCTATTCCCCCAATTGAACTGAGTGTCGCGTTGGGCCTACTTTTAAACTGACTAATTCGTAGAAAGCACGCAGAATCTGGTGTTTCATACTATCACAACAAATTTCCTCGTCCTCGTCGAGCAGCCGAGCCAGCAGGCAGGCCAAATGCAGCGAGATGACGAGGGCGCGGTTCAGGGCCGTACTGTCCCGTTCGTGGCATGGCATCTGTTCCATCATCCGCTGGCCGAGTTGCACCTCGCGGATCGATTTCTTGAAGATGATCAACATGTCGGAGGTTTCGATCGGCGGTACGATCCGTCCGCGGGTGATCGGTCGACCGGCTTCGCCCAGCATAAAGCTGAACAGCTCCGCAAACGAGAGTAGGGAGGATTGCGTCATCGGGTTCAGCGGTTCCAGGATGTTCTGCTGCATCGACAGTGCGTACGTCCACAGTTCTATGCACCGGTCGAAACGACCTGAGTCGGCGTAGACGGCACCTCGGAAGCGAATGTAGTAACTGGTATCGGGATGAACCGGCCCGAGTATCCGTTCGCGTATCAGCAGCGCCTGCATACGCATCTCGTCCGGGTCCATCACCAGCTCGTCCAGGGCGCTGAGGTCATTCACTTCCTGGCCGAAGTCGTAGGCGGGAACCTGGTCGCGCACTGGTTTCGGCAGGACCGGGCTGTTGTTATATCTGCAAAGGAAGGATTAGAAGAGTGTGTCTGGAGCGGTGTTGTTCGAACTAACCTATCTTCCATGGCACGTTTCCAGAACGAGAGTGCACCGAGCATATCACGTTTCTTATCTACGTAGGTTGCACCGAGGAGTTCGAGGGCCGCTACTCTATCGTCCCGTTTCACAAATGGCAGACTGATGAGGTGTTCTACGATGGGCAGGTGTCCTGTGACGCTGGCAGCCAAGAGGGGTGTCATTCCTGAAATCGTTAGTTCGTCAGTACAAAACAAACATCTTGGACTACCTTCGGCAACAACCTACCGTAGGAATCTACATCCATTGTGGCACCGTGCTGCAGGAGCAGTTGGAGGATTTCCAGCGAACCGGACTCGGCACAATCGTGCAGGGCAGTGTTGCCTTTCACGCTGCGTCGGTTCACGTCCGCTTTGAGCGACAGAAGGTATTGTGCAATTTTGTAGTGTCCCTTGTAGCAGGCGATCATCAGGCAGGTGTGACCGTGGCGGTTTGCCACTTCAATATCTACATAAAAAAAACAAATGGTTTATTAAGATTTTAGATGAAAGCGCAATCGCAGTGCAACGACACCTACCGGCACCATGTGATACTAGGTATTTGACGATTTCATAGTGGCCATCGAAGCAGGCCGCCCGCAGGGGTGTGCTGTTGGTTTTGGTTGTACTGTTCACTTTGGCACCGTGCTGGACTAGGAGTTTCACTATGCTGGTATGGCCGGCGGCTGAGGCGCACCACAGGGGCGGAGCACCCTCTATCGTTTCGCCGTCGAAGATCACTGGAAAGGAAAGGGAAATTTGAAACTTCGTACTTTAGCGGGTGTGACCCTGGTCCTACCTGATCCCGGCTGTTCGACATCGGCGTGACATCGTTTGATCAGGTACTGTACCACATCGAAGTGACCATTCCGGCAGGCGATCAGCAGCGGGGTGGCGCCACCTGTCTTTGCCGTTACCAACATTTCGATCTCATTTTGTGGTCGACCGCTGATGTATCGCTGCAAGGTGAAGGTAGAAATGATAAAGAAATCGGTTACAAGGTTGTCACCAAGTTGCATGCAGCTATAGGAGGGAGGGGATTGACAAGCCAACTGTTGATTGTTGATGGTCGCTGCAAACAAAATCGAAAACAGGGAAGTGCATTCTAATCGGATTCAAACGACCGCACGCGGTTTGAGCGGCGGTTCACCGTTCGTTTACATAAATATTGACACTTTCGAATGGTTTCTATAAATATTCGTCGCTTCCCGATGTCATCCACCATCCATCATCAAGCGCAGTTGTTGACGTGACGACAGCGACGACATCGAAAGTGGTGACCTCTAACTTATTACCACAGGAGGCGCTAACAGTTGCGAAGCGCGGTCAGTAGTGAGAGCGAGACCGTCACGACGCTCTTGGCAAACGTCGCAAAAACCAAAATCGAAGCCGCCGCCAAAAAATGCGACTAATCAGTCAAAGTGATTGAATCGATTCGACCCGCATTGATAGTAGTGTTGGTGATCGAAATTGTGTTGTTGTATTGTGATTTGGTGAAAGAAGCAGCACATCAATTTAGAATTCACGTGCCGGCTATTTTTTGTTTCGTTTGATTTGGTTTCGTTTTGATTTGCAAATTCTGATTAGATTGTGTTCTTCACATTAAAGAAATTGAATATGGAGTATTTTTTTTTCGTTGAATCGTTTTCCGGGCAAGGAGGCAGTTTCCAAACCAGGATCGAGGTACTGTGACTAAGCAATTATTGGAGATAGATAACACAGTCCAAGGATTTCAATAGAGGTTCCTCGAAGTTGTATATCTGATAACTGAGATAAGATGTCCAAACCAGGTGTTCATTATCTACACGGTAAAAAGTGGTCATATCTAATCCAAATGCTCTTGCACTTGACTTATTCTGTTATGCGGCACTACGAATCGAAGTGATTTATCGTTGAAAATATGTACTATATAACACCTTTAAATCAAAATGATTATCATTTGAATTGGCACCACTGTTTTCATCAATTTAATTTGATTAGTTTTGCTTTTGGAAGCAAATGTCAAAAACGCACATGCCAAATATTACTCGCGAAGATGGCAAATCAACAACAAATGAAGTCAAATGAGAGAAGCAATAATTCTTCATTTCAACCCGAAATAATTTGCATTCTAGAGCGTGAGTATTATGAAATGGATGCTGTATTCAATAATAGTGAATAATTACAAAACATTGTCAAACTTATCAAATTTATTGCTCAATGTATTGTCTTGCCCTCTTGCAATGTTGTTGACACATGTTCAATGGACATATTCTGGACATAGTTAAACTTAGGATAAATGAGTTAAACTTAAAGTGATAGATTGTTAATATCAGTATGGTCGACATTTCGACTTCAAAGTACAGCACATCAACAACGATGTGCAATACAATCTAAAATGAAGTGATTTACTGTTGATTTCATCGTGCTTCGATATGATCTCTTCCAAAGGATTTGCACATCGAATTGCAATGTTTGGCAAGTAGTGCAAAGTCAACAGTAAATCACTTTAAACGAACATGATGTTTTTTTACCGTGTACAATAACATGATTGTACAGGGTGTGCACGACATTATTTGCACACAGAAAATAAGTTGCCAAAATTTAAGTTTGAAGAACCCCGAGAATTCTTCAGAACGAGGAGCTCTAAACCTAACACAAAAAGGGTGATCAGTAAGCGTCAAAAGATCAGTGTGACAGAGCGGCACGAATTGGGACAATTTTACCGTAACAGACCATTTTGGATACAATCCGTGCTGAATCGTATAAATGCAAAATATATTCGAACACAACTTTGGAACGGACGCAGGAATGCCATCCGGGCCACCAGTAAATTGCAGTTTAGAGCTTTGCGTGCCTAACGTCTAAATTTTTAACGATTTTAAAAATCAATTAACTCTTAACCCATCATGCTGAACATAATATTTTCTCACTCAAATTATGTAATTTGATCAATGCTCAGTGGTTCAGAATGCAAATTTAGGTGGAATGATATGTTTTGAGCCTGTAATTGAAGCTTTAGACTAAAAGTCTCTTCTACAAAGTTGTTCCTTATAGTTAGGCCTTCATTTTTGTGACAATGAATTCCAGGGTGGTTCTTATTACCATTAAAATAAAAAATCTATCTTTTTTGTTTGAATAAATTAAGGTATACATTCTTCGGCAAAGTTATAGCTGAGCTAATTTCAAGCAACTTTGTATTTGCCAATAACTTATTTATTTGAAATTTCTCCTGTAAGTCATCTTCTAGAGACTATTAAAACTCTTTAAGACGAATGATTCATAGCGGGATTTGTTGTCTGTATTTCTTCTAATAAAAAAGATATACCCAAATATAGTAAATAATATAAATAAATTCAAATTGATTGTTTACGAATTTAAAAAATAACATACCTTCAATTATTGAGAATAACATACGCCTTTTAGAGGCCGTTAAAAGCTTTTGTTGTTGTTTGCCCCAACAAGAGATATAAAACGTCAATATCTCTTGATCGGCGAAAGATATGGACAAACTTTGTGCAGCAAAAATTTGCGCCTTCTTAAGATCTAAAAGTTATTTGAAGACATCTTTGTTGAGAAATTTGAAATAAGAAAACTAAAGCAAAACAACTGTTTTTTAGAGACACCTTAACTCAATTCAAGAAAATAGCTCTAAATCCGTCAATTTGAGAGATATAAAAGTTTTTTTTATGAAAACTTGCTTGAAATTAGCTCAGCTATAACTTTGCCGAAGAATGTATGCCTTAAAATATTCAAACAAAAAAGATAGATTTTTTATTTTAATGATAATAAGAATATAATAATAAGAACCACCCTAGAATTCATTGTCATAAAAATGAGGGCCTAACTATAAGGAACTACTTTGTAGAAGAGACTTTTAGTTTAAAGTTTATATGCTAAATCTGCATTCTGAACCACTGTGCAATGGCGCCTAAACCGATGGTCCATGATCACATTGGGCGTCCCAAAAAAGTACCGGTTCCCCAGGGGAAGTGGCCAATTCTCAAAAAGAACCAAAACCTATCGTGCGACATATCAAACTTCATGATTTTACATAACTTGTGCCGATAAGGGCCATGTTGACAGTCCACGGTCACACTAGCCCTCCCGGGCATGTTCCGGTGCCCCCGGGGAAGTGGCCAGTTCTCGACAAGAACCAAAATTCCAACTAGCAACAAGTGCAATTAGGTTCAGTGATTGTTGATAAATGTGGACTCCCAATACCCAAGTAACCATAGGCACGTTATTTAGCCTTTTTGCGAAGAAAACATATCAAGAAGACTGGCAACTTTTCCTGAATCTGAGCGACAGACAGAGTAGCGCCAACAATCGATACGAAACTAACGATTTTAGATTGGCTCACTACTTAACTAGCCTATTGGTCCCAAGGTACCCATTCTAGTATAAACTCCAGTACTACACTATCTCTGTTTTGATTCGCTATGAAAGTTTGACAGATAAAATGAGGGGTTCATGGATTTTCCTATGATTCGAGGGGTGAATCGATTAGCTTGGGACCGAAAAGAGTACCAGAGCTGAACCAAAAAGTTGAGCTCGTTTCTTCGAGACCTTCTGGTCTTAGAGTTACCTCTATGGTAGCGCTGCGCTCGAGCGAAGGTGGAAGCAAACGCATAGAAAAATGAGCAAATACATAAACCTTTCTTCTGAGGATGGAACCTTTGCTATCCAATTTGTTCGGAGCATTTACCTTTGAGCGGCAGATGCCGCGATTGTGCCTGTCTCATACCGGTCGTTTGAGAAAATGGAAGAGTTGCCAGTCTTTTTGATATGTTGTCTTCGCTTTTTGGCTAAATACGAGCTTCATCGAAACTTACAAACACTGGTATAGCCGTTGTTCAGCTGTATATAACCAAACAGGCGAAATAACGTGTCTATGGTTACTTGGGTAAGTTTGATATGTCGAACGACGGGTTTTGGTTTTTTTTTTGAGAATCGGCCATTTCCTCAGGGCCACCAGAATATGCCCGTTAGGGCTAGTGTGATCGTGGACCTTCAATAAGGCCATTACCGGCCGAGTTTTATAGAATCATGGAGTTTGATATGTCGCACGACGAGTTATAATCCTTGTTGATAATTGGCCACTTACTCCCGAGGCAACGGAACATTTCCGGGATGGCCAATGTGACCGTGGTTTCTCAATAAGGCCATTACCGGTCGAGTTTTGAAAAACTATGAAGTTTGATATGTTACGCGACGGGTTTTGGTTCTTGTCGAGAATTAGCCAGTTGCCCGGGAGAACCGGAACATGCTCGGGAGACCCAATATGACCGTGGACTTTCAATAAGGCCATTACTGGCCGGTTTCTGCAGGATCATGAAGCTTGACGGGTTTTGATTATTGTTGAGAAATGGCCAGTTCCCCGAGGGCACCGGAACATATCCGGTAGGAACAATGTAGGAACAACGGAACATTTCCGGGATGGCCAATGTGACTGTGGTCTCTCAATAAGGCCATTACCGGTCGAGTTTTGAAAAACCATGAAGTTTGATTTGTCGTACGACCGGTTTTGGTTCTTGTCGAACATTTTCCACTTCCCACCGGGGGCACCGGAACATGCCGTGGAGGGCTAGTGTGATCGTGGACTGTCAATAAGGCCATTACCGTCCAAGTTTTTTTTTTAATCATGAAGTTTGATGTGTCACAGGATAGGTTTTGGTTCTTGTCGAGGATTGGCCGATTTCTGCAAGATCATGAAGCTTGATGTGTCGCACGACGGGTTTTAATTATTGTTGAGGAATGGCCACTTCGGTGTACACGGCCTACACGGCCTGTACGGCGGTGTACGGGTTCGGCCTACACGGCCTGAGCGTCTGTTCACCATGGAGGTGCGGCTCAAACAGCGTCTGACTGGCATCCAGCGGCTGAATAAGAAATGCTGTATTGTGTCAGCTAAATCTAAGATGGCAGCCCCATCTACACAATAACTGAGCGTCTGTCCACCATGGAGGTGCGGCTCAAA